ACATAATGCCATAGCACTATCAAAAGGAAAGGTGAACTAATGGCATTTGCAAATGTCAGGGATTATCTTAACACTTTTATTATAGTTTATAAAAAGTAGATTCAGGGCATTCCATGGCAATTATTTCCACAGAAATTGGTTATTTAAATAAATTGCTAATTATCTGGATATGACAGTATTGAAAACCCAGCTAATGAGTTATTTGATAAGTGTAGCTTATGGTGGCCACCTACAGGTGGGAGAGAGAAAGAGCATATGGAATAATTGTAATGAGAATGCAGTACAAATGAATTGTGTATAATCTGCACATTACCACGGACTCTTTGCAAATGCAGAGGGTATATATACTTTAATCACCAGTACTGGGCAGCATACACGTTATGCAGAAATTGTCTTACTGAAGAATTATTTTTTCTGTGGTTCCTTCCTAATCCCTAAACTTTCTTATCAAGTTACCTACTGCAGTGTTGATTGGTCATCTACAATGTCTGTGCTTTCCCAGACCAATTCCCTTATATAATGCTTTTTCACCCAGGTCTGGTATTTGCTGGCATTTGCTTCTTTTGTCATTGGCTTTGTTAATGTTAACAGTCAGAGAGAGTCTTTTGAGAATGGATTTACAGAGGGAAGGATGGTGACGTTGCACAAATTTTGGCGGGTTGTATTTTTTAGCAGCACAGACTTCATCAGTAATTTATTAATCAAAAACACTGTGTCAGCTAATTTTTCTTTGTAATATTTAGGCTCTGAAGTTTCAACCTGATATTAAATTTGTAAAGAAGAACTCGAGTGTAATATAATACAATGCAAATTAAAGATTAATTTTACTTTACAATGCACAGAATGGGGAGAATTATTACCCAAATTCATTTTTATTCCATCTAGTAACCATAGATAAAAAAATTTACTTTTAAGTCATCTACTAAGCAAAGGTATGAGAATTTGCTTTCCTTTTAAATCTGTTTCTTTTGTTGATGGAGAGTTTGATAAAGACCATCCAGACCATTTCAAGATTCAGGCTCAGTAGTATCAGTCTGAATGGATTCACCTCAGTTCTGCTGGCTGTTTTTTAATGGGCCTGGATCATCTGTACCTAAAGGCCCAATTAGAGCAGCTGCAAATATCTGTTAAAGATTTTACTACCATGTTGATGCAATATATTGCAAGTGAGAATGTAGGCCAGTATTCAAGACTTCTGACATTGTTTTTTTTACCCAATTAGTGGATCACTGGGAGCAAGCAGATCTGAATTGTTTCTGCTAGGAACTTCCAAAGCTACTGGGTTGCTTGAAGCTTAAGACCTGGCTTCTGATAAAAGGCATTAAGTTTGGCTCTTAAGCCCCAATCTAGTGAACATTTTTGGTACCTGACAGGATTGAGTCCTCTGGGGACTCCAGGGACTTATGAATTCATAATAAAACATGTCTCTTCTGACATTGATAAAGGGTTTTTTTACTTCCTAAGGAACTATCAAACAAGTAAGTAGGTATAAGACCTCTCATCAGTTTGGCATCAGTCTACTATCCTCAAAGGACAAGGGCAGCTCTACCTACCTGTGCTGATCAGGGAGACACATTTGGTTGACATGTGTTCTACTTCTCCTTCATGTTGTGTTTTGCCTGTTGGATTGCCTTAACTGCAATCCCCTATAGTCACAAAAAATCTGGCTTTCTCTCAAAACAACCCAAAACGAAACAAAACCCAAACTTCATTGGTTTAAGGCAAGAAAAAGGTCTGGGACTTTTGTATCATATAATTATTTCATGGTTTAAATCTTTATACAATGGCAAATATTTGTTCCATAATTAAGGAGATACTTGAAAGAGTAGTTTTCAACATCGAGTACCATCTCCACTGGGTATTTTTCTTTCTGTCTGTCATTTTCAAATCTTACTCCCCTGCTTGCGTTCTTGATAAATTTACATTGTTATTAAAACTCGTGATTTTACAGCAAGGTAAATGATAGCCACATCCGGCAGCTGTAACGCTACTGTCAAGAGAGTGCGATATCAACAGTTTCCCTAGCTATGGGTGCTTAACTGGTGGAAATACAGGTCCCAACATGTCAAAGTATGTGTTAGATGCCAGTTTTTTTTGCATGTGAGCTGTCTCTCCAATACATTCTGGACTTGGACCTCAGCTTCTTAAATACCATTGGATTTATCAGAAAAAATTGTGTAAATACCCACTACTACTCACAGCTTTAAAATTTGGCATTAAATCTCCTTTATTGTAACCTTTTAAAAACTTCTCCACGAATCTCTGTGGTGGAGTTTATTACCTTCCTGTGGTATTTGTACGAAAATGAAAGAAAATAGAGACTCTAGGTCAAATTCAATACTTATTTGCTTTTTTAAAAATTGTTTCCCGCATTTTTTTTCTAATAGGATCTCTATCACAAGTAAATCACATTGTATTGCAGACAAGCAGCTTTTATTACAAAAAGGAAGCTTCTGCACTGTTGATCAAGAAATGCACAAGAGAATGGCTGTACCTTCTGATGCGTTTGTTCCATGTTCCGTAGAATAAAGACAAAAATGCTGGGATGAATAGTTGTACCTCAGTCAACCCTCTGATTGTCATTAGAGACTTTTATTTACTCTCATCAGAAGCACTCCTGAAATGTTTTTAAATTCATTTGGGTGAATTATAGATTAATGGAATACTTTTGCGGTTGTACCATTTTATCACTAATTTGCTAATCACCAAATATAAGTAATAACTTGTGTTATGAATATCAAGTGCACCTAGTACTAAAAAGTATCAGTGTTCCAAAATAAATTCTAAGTCTCGTTTTCATCTCTGCTAGGCTTCATCAAATCTTATACTTAATTTCTTTGGGCTGAATGAAGGCCTTTCTAATTACCTGTTGTGCTGAAACCTTGGATAAACTGTCATTTACTCCTTTTCCTCTACTGACCATCATACAGAGACAGTCATTTAAGTGAGAAGGTAGCTAAATCAATCAGACTGAAGAAAGGAACAATTATATTCTGGAAATATTTTCTTGCAGAACTCTGTCGTACAAGATATCATTAAGATCAAGGGGCTTAAAAACTGATTGAATACAAACTCTCAGAATTACATTGGGGTTGAAAGAATACAAACATTCATGCCTCAAGGCAGAGGTCAGTTTTTAACTCATGCAGATTGGGAAGAAATTTCCCTCTAGCCACATGATTTCAGAGTCACCAGCATCTGTATCCTTTTACGTTTCTAAAAGATAACTGCCTCTTCTCAGGGAGATTCTGGAGCAGCTGTGTCAGTGCTTGAAAGCAATGTAGCAAATCTGATGCTTAAATGTAGTTTCAGTTTCAAACATTGGATATTTCAAGTATTTCATGAACTAGTGTTTTTTGATGAGATTATTTTCAGTAGTTTTGGCTGTGTAGTGTGTGTCTTGGCATATATGCGTTCCAAAAGGCTTTATAAATAAATCTGTGAGAGCAAGCAGCACGGTTCCTTTCTTTTTGTCTCAAGTCTTTCTCTGAGACTGAACCATCAATCCTCTCCTAGTATTTGCTCTTTGGTCAGTAGTGGTCATCCTCTTTTAGAGTCATTCTGTTCCTTTCAAATGCATTACGATCGATCTAGCTCAAATGATGGCAAATACTTTCTCAGATTAGAACTCCAGACAGAAGACTTCAGTACTTCTGTCTCAGAAAGGGTAGAGAAAGAATGGCAGCACAGCTTGTTTGGGTTGAAGAAGTTTTGTCTGAAGGAAATGAAGATGTTGGCCGGGAGTCTAAGCAGAGGTGTGGCAATGCAGCAGCTACTGTTTCCACATGGGCTCTTTTCCCAAACTTCCTAATTTTGGTTTCTTTTTCTTCTTGCTTTTTTCATTGCTTTTGTTTTATTTCTTTCTTCCCTCTTGGTTATTTTTCTTGCAGAAAGTCAAAGCTTTGAAGGTTATGAAAATACCCATGGAGGGTGTTCAGAAGTATTTCATGTCGTGGCATTTCCCCTCCACGTTACTTAACATAATATGAATAAAAATAAATAAAAAAAGAGAAAAAGTACTAGTATTTCGTTGCATAGGTTGATAGCCAGCCAGTTCCTCTGGGAGCAATATGTCCCTTCCTTACATTACTGTATTGTTGTCTGATGATAACATAAAATTATCCTAAAGGTTCTCTGAATTAAGTAGAGATTTTAAGAACATGGGAGTCATCTAGAGAAATCCCAGCTAGCCTAAAAAGTAAATAACTGAAAGTGTCAGCTGTCTATGCTATCCGTCATTTAATGAGTAGCATCTGTATGCATATTTTAAATACTTGCATACCATCAACAAGATCTAGCCAAAGCAGATGCATTGCAGACACAGTGTATTGAGACTTTAATCATAATTCCTCTAAATGTCGCAGGGAGTTTGTCTGACTCATCCTCTACATACCATGTAAAAATGCAAGCTCTAGTCTTGGAGATGCTACCGTAAATGAATGTATTTTATTCTTTTTAGTTTCTGACTATGGTGTTAATAGATAAAGGGGGCTTGCTTCAAGGATTATCTGAATCTACAAACATTGAAAGGGGAAACAAATTAAATAATATAAAAAATGTTGAGTGCAGTCAAATGGCGCTTTTAAACAAGTTTTAGTCAGGCATAAATGAATGAGATGTTCCCATTCACTTGGACAGCATGTTCAAAAAATCAACCTGATTCATTATGTAGAAACATGGATCTCTGACTACAGTGTACTGTATGGTAACGTATTGCTTTCTGTCTCAGATGTTGTTAGTCTTTGAGGATCAGCTAAAATGTTCAAGCCAGCTTTACAACGTTTATCCAAGCATTTCTACAATTTTCTTTATTTAAGCCAAATTCATAACTTAGAAGTATCTATACTTCTTGAAACGCACTGAGTGTGAATTTATAAGTGAATATAACTTCTGCATCTCAAAACTAGGTGATAGTTCCTGATGTTCCTACTATGAGGAATGTGCAGATTACATCAGGGTATGTTCTGACATTGATAACAGAACATTCTGGTTTTCTACAGGAAACGCTATTAGACCCATCGCCCTCCGCGCAGTGTCTGCCATAGCCCGTGCTCTCCCAGGATTTCCCATCTTAGCAACTGGAGGCATTGATTCTGCTGAAAGTGGGCTCCAGTTTCTGCACAGTGGAGCTTCTGTTTTACAGGTACCTTTTCTTTATTTAAAATATTAAAATTAAAATAACTGTAATTAAAACCATAACATATCTTCCTTTCAAACATTAATATAGTGGGGGCTTTACACTCTTGAAACGATTTTCAGGTTTTTAGCTTTGTGCTTCTTGTGAAGAGATATTCATTTCAGATGGAGGAGGAAGAGTTGCCAGAGGAAGATTTTGGGTGTCACAATACCAGTCTGGGAAAAGGCTAATCATGAGTGTGTTAGTAGTATTTTTCTCTGACCTATAGAGTTTAAACTTTAAACATTTCTCTCTTGTCATACAAAAATGCTGACACAAAGTTAAGCTTGAGCTATCTGTTCATCCTTTATTCTTGGGTTTTGTCTTCTGCAAAGAGCCTTTTCAAGGGGAGAGGGATTTCAAAGAGCACTGCTTTGGTCCCACTGGGAGCCAGCTTAAAGTAACTCTTGTTTATCGAGGCATCTGTGTCCCTTTAAGCATGTTTATTGGAACAGGAGGTGCAGAGCTGTGCCTCCTGCATATGGTGCTGGCCTTGCAGCCCATTGCGTTGGAGTGAGGTGTCGGACTGCATGCAGCAGTTGAAGCTGTGTGTGTTGCTCAGTGGGTTGTTTGGAGGTCCTGGCCAGATTGGCATGGTTAGTTAGCCCCTGTCATGAACAGAAGCTTTGGGGGCTTCTTTTTATGGGCACCAGGAAATTAGCTGGAAATCAGCTGCTTACCTGCTCTAGTAGGCATGTCAGGGCACCATTGCAGCACATACGTTAGAATGGCTGGGAAGAGCAGGTGGTGGTTATGTTCTATTATTCCACTGTATATTGTTACTTTCTGGTAGATACTTGTCCCCTTTATCTGTAGTTCCCATCACAGACAACAGCAGCTGTGGATCCTGTGGATTCCAGCTTTGTGTGACTCCATGGGATGAGTGGAGTGGTTTCATTCCGACAATTCGCTTTCACATTGAAATTAGATTCAGTGTGACCATCCTTTCTGCACAGCTATGGTGACTGCTAAATTAGTCATTTGTTTGCTATGTTTCAGGGGGAGAAAAAACCAACAACTCAGTAGTTTGATTTGGCTGGGTTTTTAATGTACAGCAAAAGTTAACATGTCTGGGTGCTGAAGTAGATTTTGGATATTTAGTTATTTATCTTAATGTCTCAATGATGTTAATACTATTACCTTTTTTTTTTTTAGTTTGCATTACAATATTTAAAACTCTTCTTTTGTCGTGGACAGATAAAAAAAATCTGCCTTTCTTATACAATGGTGCAAGAGCTTCTTCTAGATAAATACTAAGTAATGGTACAAATTACAGAGCAGCATTTGTCTACAGAAAAGTAGACAAGGGAGTGTTTTTAGTGCTGCAGATGCATTTCATTTGTTATTGCTAATAGACCTGCAGTTCTGATGGCTTTCTCTGTAACAATATCATGTGATCTGAATTACACAGAATGGAATGATTTTCTGTTCTATATCTGCTGTATCTGTTTCTGGATGACTAAAATTGAATTTTTTTCAAGTCTGTAGCTGTTTATTTTTTAGTATGTCTTTTCTTTTTTGTTGGTTTCCCCCAATGGTAATGGCAAGTTCTGAAATATAATTTAATGCAGACATCTCAGTCAGTGCTGAAGAGAAAGAATATTGGATTTATACTACTAAAAGGAAAACAATAATTAATGTTTTAATCAAGCTTTCTTGAACTAGCTTCCAGAAATGACTTTAATCTATACTGTTCTTCTGCCCTTTACAGAACAATTTCTCTTTTCAACATTTTTTTTCCCAGAGATGGTGAAAAATATTTTTTTCTTGTCCTTAGGCTCCACCAGTTTAACTTAAACCATCTCTAGAACTGATTTTAAACTCCTCTGGATCAAACCTCAGTTTGAGCAGCTTATTTCTGTTTCACAATAGTAGGGAAGTAATTTAAACTAATCTGAGATAAATGAGTTCTAAAGTTGCTGTGTAGGTAAGGGTCTGAACTAGTTCAATTACATCTATTTAAAAATAAGCCTTTAGTAAACTTCATGCAAAATTGTGAGTACAGACCATAAGTCTTGCCCTCATCTGGTGAAAAGCAAATGGAACAGAGAGAGAAACAAGTGATCTCTACAAACAGTCTTAAAAGGAATAAACTTGACTGGAACTAGACTGAAACTTTTGTCTGCTGCTCAGGCAAGCCTCCTTTTCACAGGTCATCTTTGGAACCTAATTAGGATTATGAGAATAATTGCCATTGTTTTCCTTCTTAACAAGGGCATACAAATTAGCCAGCTAATATATTTTTCCCTGAATTCCAGTCTCTCTCTCACATGTCCTTGGTATTGGATGCCCAGGCTGTTCCTTCCTCAACATTCAAAACCTCTGTTGCTTATTTTAACAGTTTTGACAGTTACATTTCACATTTCATTTCCAAAACCATGAGGACACCTCATGACTGATCCAGAGGCAGAAAGCGAGGAACATTGGGCTCAGGCAGTGCTGCAGGGAGCTCTGCGTTCAGCCGTACCAGCTGAGTGATGGTCTCAAAACTTGGAGTGAGTACTTGTCTTGTGAAAAGGTCTGTGGCTGTGAGAGGCACGTACCCAAGCTAAGCGCTTGCATGTTTCAGAACCCCATTAAGGACTTGCACTGAAACAACGTGCAAGATAACAAAGAATAGGTGATTTATTAAAGCGACAGATACAAGATTTGGAGTTGCCGTTGATAAGTTCACTGTCTGCAGTAGCGTTAATATATGATAATAATGCTAGCAAAATACTATCCTGGGTACTTCTCACCAACAGGTGAAAGTGCAGTTCTTACCAAGAAGGTGTCCCTGTCTTGGGTGAAGGACAAGGAGCACAGCCCGTCGACTGCCTCTCCTGGGTTTGTTCTCTCCCTCCATCAATACACTCCCTCCATGCTCCTTATATACTATCTCCCCCCTCCCCAGGGTCACATTTGGCATGGTTTGAGTGGAGAGTGGGTGACTATGGTCATATAGGGATATTGAGGCAAAAAACTCCACTCTGGGCACTGTGGCCTTCAGAATTCTGTTTTGAAGCAACTTATCTGTTTGCAGGATCGTGTTGACATTGTTAGTCTCCCTCTGGCCTTGTTCTTTGGCCAAAACAAGGTGGTCCTGGGACAACAAGACTCCCTCTTTTGGCTGGTTCTCACTGTGCAGGTCTTGTTAATCTCCATCCTCAGTGTCTGCTCAACAGATAAGCAGACACCTGCATTCTACAAGTCTCAAATCCTTGGGTTAAAGAATCACAGCACTGCCACTGCTATCACCACTCATTACACAAAATAGCCTGTGGATGTTTCCTCATCAGCAGTATTTTAATAGGGTAGGGAGCATTAAACACAATCTAACACCACAAAGCAGCAAAGGTTCTGTTGATCCATCCATGGAGCCCAAGAGCCTGGGCGAGCAGCACTTGTGTGGCTGTGGGGCTTCCCTTCCTTGTGCCAGGACCAAGGGTCTGGTGTCTTCTCTGCCATGAGAGGGTGATGTTCGTGAGCTAAGATAATATGAAGGCTTTGTGTGAGTTGGTTTAATTGCAATGTGGCATATCTCTTAGGAAAGAGGTTTATGAATAATAAATGTACCTCCATTAAAAGAAAGATCAGATTTTCCTCTGCATCTATTTCACCTACAAACAGTTCTCCATTACTTTTTTCCAGTGGCTTTTAGTTTTAAAGCATGAGGATTTATTTTCCATTTTATGAAATCATCATACAAAGGAGTGCAAGTCAGGAGTCAGGTGGTGAGTCATATTTCAATATATGCTATAACCATCTCAAGTGGTATTAAGCAGATATATTAGGGAGTGGTTTGGGGAAAAATTTGAAGTGTGTTCTGTTCCGTCGCAACATCTTAGTGTTGTTACCATCAAAAAGTTCGTGTGTAAGAAAATTTTGTAACAGGTATAGAAAACAAACTGGATCATTGTAGTCACTAGTAGCTGGGGTTAAAATTTTATACAGCAATTTAACAGAGCATTTTTCAACTTTATGACAGAAACAGTTGCAAAGACACCCCACCTGGGTTTTAATTTTTCATTAAAAATGCCAAAACATTGCAATCATCTTCAGCTGATTCCATAGAACTATACTTTTTTGTAACATACCCAAATCCACCAATCCCTTTTCATTACAGGTATGAAATAAAAAAACCCAAACAACTTTTTAATGGGGATAATCCTGCACTTATTGCATATCAAAAGCTCCACAAATATCTAGCTGCATCTTTTTGAGGTGCAATTCGTTACTACAGGCTTCCAGTGAGGCTGAAGTATTTTTTTAGGTAAGCTTTTTTTAAAAAAGCCCCAGTTTATCAAAATAGCATGTATTTCAGATTTTTTTTTGCATCTTTTGCATCATGTATGTGATTTACCATATACCATTGATGGTTTTTTAGATTTTTGCAAGGCTTTGAAGGAGACATACATTTTTCAAAGTCATCTTGCTGTAGGAAATTAAAAATGGAGACAATTACAGAAAATTCCAGTGGAAAGAGAAAATGCATTATGGAAAAAGCAATAAAAGTGTAAAAATATTAAAGTAAAAATCACTTCACAGTAGCCTGTATGATTGAATTGTAGATCAATATTGTGTAGTTAATGCATTAGCAGTAGAGCATTAATTTGCAATTACCGCAGGTGATCTGATCCTCTGTGTTCTGTCCATTGACATAAATGACCTTTTGTTGAAAGAGATTCTGTAGTCATTATTTCTGGTAGATATAACCGGAAAAAAAAGGTAGAACAAAGGGGTACTTTCTGAAGTATACTTGTTTCATGCTAGAGTCTCTTAACATTATATTCTGGTATGGAATACTTTTGTGAATCATGAATATTGGCCATTAATGTGTAAAGAATATGAATTCCTCTTCAAAGAAATTTCTTTTCTTACAAAGTATGGAGGTCACAAATGTCCCCTGTTGCTCCAGCATGTTCCAGCATCTGTAAGGCTCTTTACATAGCAACGATTTAAAATCCACTTATATAGTGCTGCTTCCC